GAGGCTCGTGGTTTGGGTTTTAAAGGATTACACTAGATGCAACACAACAGCCTGTGTAAGCTTTGGATTAACTTCAGACAGAATGAAAGCTTATGGCCCAAGTTCATGCAGGCCAAATACTGCAAATTTGATCACCCTGGGGAGGTCTCTAGGAAGGTGGGAGATTCTAGAATTTGGATCCAGATCCTACAGGTCAGGGGAGATACTGAAAAGCTGCTAAGATAGGAGCTGGGCCATGGGGATATCAATTTTTGGAAGCACAATTGGTGCCCTACAGAATATTTGAAGCCTTTGCAGGATGAAAAAGAGGGGGATCTACTGGTAAAAGACTATTGGAATGGCAATGTCTGGTCTGAGGACACTTTGAGGAGTATCCTGAAGGAACATTCTGTCAGCTTCATTTCAACAATCCACTTTTATAGAAATAACAAAGATCAACTTAATTTGAGGAATAGGACCAGGTCAAGCATTTCAAAGGATATCCAGAATAATTTGTTCAGACAATTGCCAGTGGAAATTGTCAGTGGAATGTATCCTCATGCCAAAAACACTTAACCCATTCCATGCTTTTCTTTTCTTGGAGAATCCTAAATAACTTACTTCCTACTGATGATATTCTGAAACTAAAAGGTCTGAAAGGGCCAACTAGATGCCATCTCTGCAAGCTTGACCAGGAATCCTGGGATCACTTATTTTTCAGGTGCAAATTTGCTAGGGAGGTTTGGAATAGTCTGGCCTCCCAAATGAATATTAACCTGATAAATATTGGTTGGGGTAACATAATTGATTGTATTAAATATTGGCAAGAGATTAACCTCATGCCAATCCCCTTCATTGTTGCTTGGTTCCTTTGGATGGCTAGAAACAAGGCCAAACATGAGGAGAGTGGGGTTAACACTACAAGGGTGACACTACAAGGGTGATGTTTAACTGTTTGACATATCTAAATAAACTGATAAGTTGGAAGAATTTTCCAAAGATCCTGCAAACCTTACCCACTATGGATGCTAATAATATAAAGATCATCAAGGTTAGATTGGAGAGGCCTCCTTACCCATTCATTAAAATCAACACTGATGGAAGCTACACAAACAAGAGAGCCGGAATTGGGGGGATTTTTAGAGATCACGCAGGGCATACTTTGCTCTTCTATAAGGCCACATATATTACTGAAGATGTTTTGGGCACTGAAGCTGCTGCTCTTTATTGGGCCTTAAAATTTGCTAAGAAAAACAAGTGCAAGTGGATCTTTGCTGAAGTGGACTCCTCCCTCCTGGTGGAGCTGCTGAATGTTAAGATTTCTTCCTCTTGGCACATAAACCAGTAGATTCACAAGATTACGAAGCTTAGCCTTGAAATTAAGATTCAGTTCTCTTTTGTCTATAGGGAAGCAAACAGACCTGCTAAGTTCCTAGCTCTGGAGGGTGCAACTTCAGATCATGCTGATGTTTTCACAACCCTCTCCCTCCTCCACCTGTTAACTCAGGGGGACAAACTTCAAATTCCTTACCTTAGATTGCAAAAATGAATGCTGGGATCCTTGCTTGTGGCCATGGGATGTGCTGGTCTTCCAATGATGCTGAGCTCCTTGTTTCATTTTTATTTGTTTTGTTTGGGGGTAT